TGAGCCGTTGATTTTGAAAGTGGGGCAAGTCCATTTTGTGAAAAAAAAAAATAGTTAAAGCTAATTTTTATTACAAATTTACATAAATTTTTAATCAATTCACAATAAATATCTTATAATATCAGTATAAATTTGTTACTAGTAATTTATATCGTCAACGATATTTATTGAGAGTTGATTTTGAAAGTAAGGCAAGTCTACTCTAAAGAAAAATATAATCTTACAATTTTTGTGTTCAAATTTTACAATGTTCAAATTATGAAAAATATAATGATATTATGGATTTATTACCTTACGTAAACTACCCATTCATTATAAATACTTTAAAAATCTGTACCATTTGAACTAAGAAATATAATTATATGCATGCAATTACTGAATATTTTTCTTATTTTATCCACTTTTTCCTATAAAATTAAATTTATTTTTCGTTTTACTGTAGCTTTTCGAAAGAAGTACGAAATGTTGAAATAAAATAAATAAGTAAATAAATAAAATATTCAATTTTTTGTTGTTATAATTATATTCCATTAAAAAAATCAACGTTTTCAACAAATCATTGCTTTTGAAATTGAGGAAAGTCCATTGGCACATAACAAAATGATGATTTTTTCACCTACCACGGATAACCATTATTGCCTATTAAATTTACATGAAATAAGACCAAAAAAAAAAAAAACATAAAATAAGTCTATTACTGCTTACGAATACTTTTAACCCATTCAAATGCACACCATTAAATATATAGCAACAACATAAAATGGACTTACCCCACTTTCAAAATCAACGGCTCATATATTGCTGCAAATCGCGGCCACTAAAATCCAACCAATTAAAACTTTCGTATTTCGTGAAAATGGACAAGAAAACAAATAGATCGGTATCGCTGCGTTAAACCTTTGTTATTTACGTAGGTAAACGAATTTTCGGCACCATTTTTACTTAGGATTATTAATTAGACGCTGTTTGTTAAAAGTATTATATTACGTATTATTTATTAGCAGCAAAATAAATAATATAACACTTCAAGTAAATAAAAGTAGGCCTACGTAGACTGGTAGAAAGACGCCAATTGCCGGCTCGCTCCGAAATTCTCTCGAAGGCACGTGATTTCTTTCGCATTTAAAAAAAATCACACGAATACGATACGAAGTGTAAATAGAAGAGTACTTACGAATGACTTCAGAAGATATTAAAAATGAATGCCATAGGCAGAAAAAAGAAAATTCAAAAATACACCGAACAATAAGAATAGAAAATTCTCCAATAAAACAAAATGTCCCGTGGCGAGTATTTCCACTACTGAGTGTCGTCGTTATAAACATTAAAAATTCTACGGAACGACAGTGACGTAAGATAAAACTTTCCGACTTTACACCATAACGAAGTAAGTTTTGGTAGTGCGTGTGCTAGAAATCGTCATTTACTTTTAAGTTTAGTTTAAAATTTTAAATTGTATCGTAAAATTAACTTTTCATTCTACTTTTCCTTCTTGTTCCACGCTTATTAATAATTTTTGAGTAATCAAAGTAATCCAAGCTGAAATATAAAAATTGAAAATTTAAAACACAGTTTTATCAAAATGATTATATAAAGATGAAAATACGCACCGATTACTTTCTTGTACATTTTCGGTTTATCTTTCCAATATATAGTTAAAAAATAAACAGGAATTCCCGAGACGGTTATGGCTATGCCTATACCCGTTTCCCATGGACTAACGTAAAATGGCAGAAACACCAGAAATATACAAACGATCATGAATATGACTGGAATTGCTAGATTAATCTACAAAATATAATTGAATACTTTGTTAAATTATACTAGAAATTTATATAAAAAATTTAAAACAAAATTATACTTTGATGGGTCTTTCCATGTGGGGCTGTTTTATCCTTAACCACAGCATTCCACCTACAGAAAACATTACGAACAGAGCTTCTATGAATGCCGTATAATTTATGAGAACGTACACTTGAATCGTCGATAAGTATGCCAGACTCAACACTCCCTACACAAAGAAACACACTAATAACTATTAAATTACATTTCTATATTTCCAATTTTACATAATATGTAAAATTTGAAATATCGAAATGTAATTTAATAATAATTTAAAATCGAAGGAAGATCGATTCTGTCGTAGTTTGCATACGAGACATCACATACTGTATGCAAATCAAGCNGTTTTAGGACTTGTGGTTTTTCCGTTGCATTTTTCACTGTATCATCATCAGAACTTTCACTAGTATTTTCTTCACTATATTTTCTTTTTGAAGGTCCTAGTCCGTGATTACTTACATTAAAAAAATTTTATAATGTTCCTTCTGTTTTTTGCTCATTTTTATGGGTTAATTATAAATAATTAAAACTAAACACACAATATAAGAAAGAAATGCACTATTATTCGATCCAAAGTCGATGCTAAAACTAAACTAAAACACCCACAACTTGTCGTAAAGATTTTGCATATCTTTTGCAAAACATTAAATTTTCAAAGCCTACTATTTTTCCTAATTATTTTTAAAATTCCAAGCATTAATAGTTTCTTAGAATTACTTTGAAATAAAATCAGTACATACTGCGGTGTAAGTAGCATATTTGCATTTATTTCTTCTGTACTAACAAAGTTGTATACAGGAAGAAAGAAATAAATAAATAAAAAAAGTAAATACGAAAACTTTATCTTTCTTATTTCACTTTTCAATACGATATTCGGTTATACATCAATTTTCTTTTTATCATATTCTGAAGGAAATTTTGCATAATTTGGCGGCCCCGGCAAACTTCTTATGGACCCCCAGGGGGCCGCGGCCCCGTTAAGAAATACTGGTGTAGGGGCCAAGCCACTACTAATTTGAGATGGAGAGCGTATGTTTTAGATTAAATCAATTAAAAATATGATTAAAAATTGCAGTCTGGCATTATGACAATGTCACAATAAACGAGCAATTGTGTATTGTGACATTGTCACAATGTCAGGCTGCATTTTTTAATCATATCTTTCATTTAAAATATATGCTCTCCATCTTAAATTAGTAGTGGCTTGCCTAGAGTCATGCCAGTCATGTATTAACTACTGTCAGGGGAAAAGTTTTAAATTGAAATAACGTGACTTCAGGTTTGCATCAGAAGTTCATGTATCGTTAATCAGGGCCTCCTGCCCTAAAGGAGGATGAACACATGCGACGCGGCAAGGATATATGATGCATATATGATGTCTCCTAAGTGAACTTTGATAGAATCGGTCTGCCTTCGATTTCATTAATAAACCACAGATATCTGTCTTTAAAACTTTTGTTTTTCGGACAATTTAGTCAGATTTCTTGGTTTAATTTACATTTTATAAAAAGTGTTTTTAAAAATCTACAAAAAAAATTGGTAGATGGCATGGATGATGCAGTGGCCAATTATGATGTTAAATAATTATATTTCATCAATTACATTTTCAGACATGATATTTTTAAAAAGGTGACACCAATGTAATTACAGTAGAGCGTCGTTTATCCGAAGGTATTCCAGTCGACAAATTTAAATTTTCGCCAGTGCCGTGGCGCTGTAATCTTTGGCTATGTCTTCGGCTACTCAAATATTTTACGTTTTTGATACTAAATTAACTTCT